AGGTAACATCACAAGCAGATGCTGGGGGTTTGGCAGGGAAGAGAAAAAGAGACAAACCAGAAAGAGCTAAAGAGAGAGGCAGCATATTGTTACATGCACATGGTATGGAAGTGTGTGAAAACTGTCATGTAACAGTGCCTTGGCAAGCTACAAGCACAGATGGGACATGTGGCCTAACACTCACCCCTCACAACCTACCTGATGGACTACACTGGCAGTTGATTGATCCTCAGGTCCACAAATGTGCAATTTCTACTTCTAATGAAGCCCTAGCATCACAGCTGGCTTCAGAGTAAACACAGTTACTTAAAATGAGGGCAGATAAATACAGCACTGAAACAGGAAAAGAATGTAACACAGCTTCAGGAAAGCACAGGTTTGCCTCAAATTCAGGACAGTGCTATCTTTTGGGCAACCATTTTTATCTTGTTTGAACATTGTCACTTGACTACATGCAAATAAAAGGACAAGGAGTAAATCTGAAAGAAAAAGGATGTCTTGGACTTGTTTGGGTACATACACAAACGCAGGTTTCAAGGGGCTTTTCATAAATAGCAAGTATTGTAGTGCTGGTGATTACCCATTGCCAGATTCCCATTCCCATTGCCAGATCCAGCACAAAGAGCAGACTCCACTCAGGAAATAAAATCTACCATCCAAAGTGCCATTAGGGCAGCCTCTTTCAATACACACCTGGTGCATGAAGGTAAGATACAGACTTAGCACCTCACCCTGCCTCTGGAATCAAGAGTAAGAGAAACCTTACCCTTACCAACCCTCCATAAAGACTGCAAGTTTTGCACACAGGGACTCTTTCCCCTTGTAGAGAAAATAAGAGTCCAAACCCAGCCCAGTGAGCTGATGCAGATGACACTGACAAAACATTGACCAAATCCCCAAACAAAGATTGGAAGTTATACTAGCAGAGGAACAGAACACCAACAGAAAAAAAAGCATATTGAAAGGAAACATGCTCAATAACCCACATATTTGTAAATCTGCCAAAAGAAACTATCTTGCGCTAAATTTTTAGAACCAGAAAGTGGGTGAAAATCCATGGGTTAGGAAATATTTGCAACACAGACATAAAATTTTAATATCCCAGATCTTGGGTTTACCATGGAAGAATATGAACAATCTAAAAACACCTCCAAAGGACTGAATCATTTCCCAGCTGGCAAATGAAAGGCAGGGGAGCATGGCAAGGCAAATTACCAGCTTTCCAACTACAAAGCAGGTAAGTGACAAGCCCTTTACCCCACTGAGAAGCACATCATGAACCACTGCGTGCTATAAGGTTTTACCATCTCAGGTGCTCTAAAGCCTGTCACATACTTGCATTTTATCCCATAGGGCCAGTTTTGTTTAATGACTTAGCTGGAACAGCATAAATGTGTATCCAGGCAGCTCCCTCCCAATTGCCTAGCTGAAAAACGTCAGGAGATGAAAATAAAATCACTTGCTTCCACAGTTATTTCTAAGACAACCTGGTTAAACTGGCTCCAGAGCTGACTAGATAAGGGATATTTCAAATGTTACAAATCACAAAATCTTCCTTCAAAATGCCCACTTCTGGTTTGGGTCTTTCTGAAGAGCCATTTTCATAAATGCAAAGATTATGCAAAGGAGGAAATAAGCAGCTCCCATCAAAACTCCTCCTCCCTTGTTGAAAATCATCCCTGAAACACATCTCAAAGCAATCTGAAGATAATTAAAATGTTGATGTGCAGAGACTGTTGCTTATTGTGCTGACCAACACTAATTAATTATTTCTTTGTGATTCCAAGTGTCTGTATCCATATGCCACCTATGGTCTTTATATCTTGGTATTATGTACCTTGGGTAAAGGTCTCTTCTATGTGTGTAAAGTGCCTCACACAACCTCCTCTCATATAGGATTAGAGGTCCCTGATGGTAATTGAAAACTGTAATTGAAAAAGTAATAGAAAATATGAGCAAAACCAAGCTTGATACATTTCCTAGATTAATGAAGAGCACACGAGTGAGCAAAGTATCCTAATAAAACAAAGGACACCTCCTGCTAGAGAACAAAGGGAAAAGTGGCTCTACACACCACGATTCAGGGAAAACAATGTCAAAAGTAATTTAGCACTTCTATTTCTTCAAATCACACTGCTGAACCTTTCAAAGCTGTAATAACTCAAAACTCAGCATCCAGCAGACAGGTTAGTGTGGCCTATTTACTCTGTTCAATGAGAACAAAGTGGCACACAGTCACCCTGACAACAGGCAGAGGTCGCAAAGCAGATAACTGCTGCATTTTCTTGCCGAAACAAACACACTCTGCACATTTGAGTACTCTTTCCCAAAGCACTCACTGCACAAAACCACAAATGTTAGATGGATGCTTCCAGTAAAAAGGTTTTTTGGGTTACCCAAAGCTGGGACACAAGGGCAAAGAAAAGAACTGGGATGCTGAATAAGACCCAAGGTCCAACCAACCCACCAGGCAGGGCTTTGATGAAGTGATACCCTGCCAATGATAACTGCTGCCATATGCATAGGGGGGAAAAAGTACAAGAAATAATACATGTAACAGAATGATCCTTCCATTGGCATCTAGCAGCTGATGAGATTTTACTTCTGACTGGGGGGGGGGGGGGGTCTTGTATGCTTTTGCATTGGTGCTAAGTCCTGCAGCTTCTTCAGCTGCTGTCATCGCAACACATGATAGAGACAGCTGTAGTTAATTCACCTGCTAAATCTTTCTTATCCTTTTCTTGGCGTGTTTGTGGAAAACTGCTGTCCAGTGGACAATTTAGAAGATTATTCATTTATTAAACACTGAAATTGGAGCTTCACTGGTATGACCAACTAAGACTCCTGTAAAACCAAATAGGCCTGTAATCCTTCTGGTTCAGGTAAACTCCACTTCATTAGAACAGGAGCTTCTGCTGAAGCAGCTGTAGGTAATGTAGGTAATGGAAATTCTTTGCCTTTTAATTTACAACAGTTTACTTTGTATTATGTTAGGGCCTAACAGTATCATTGATTAGGCTGCTTTTTGTGCTATGAATGATACCAGTTACTAAATCTTTTCCCCGAAGAAATTAAAATGGCCAAATCACCTTTTTTTCCTAATAGCTCTTCCTCAGTACTCTTTTCTTCAAATGCATCATGCACCCCATGACTGCCAGCCTGTAACATGAAAGCATTTTTATTTTACTGAAATACTCTTATGTAGCTGTTTCTGTTACTCCTGCACTGTCTGACCAGACCTACCACACAAACCCCACAAAATGCTAAATTAAACACTGCTACTTGTGAAGCTGTATCAATATAATTTGCCTTGGAAGCAGAAAAGAGAAAGAAGGAGACTGCCCCATCTCGTGAACTTTTGTGTCTTTGCTGGAATGATAATACCTCCTTGTACTGACAAATTACTGTGTTGAAATACAACTGTAATTCCCACATATTCTGGACAGCCACGGCCAGCAAGACACTGAGGTGACCACAGTTAACATGACACACTGTAGCTGCCACATATCCAAAAATAATCCTTACAGACATCTTGTTTAAAATAAAAACAAAGACTTACAGCTGTAATTTATGTTACCTTTAAATATCACCTTTATTTGTAAAATGGGCAGCAGTCATGCAAAGTTGGTAAGGGATTAAACCCAAAGTTTTAGATGAGAAATACCTCACACCTTGTCTTCTGTATTTCTCTGCCAAATAAGCACTTCTACAAGGCAAATAACTGTAAGTCACCACCCAGAAAGAGGAGGAAGCTGGCAGCGTATTCCTGAGCCATCACCCAGAAGTGTGAGCTGTGGGGGTGGCAGGGCACACATCTGGTGTAACTAGTCAAATCCAATATGCTTTTACAATCACAATTGCCTCCCAATCATTAAAAAAATTGCATCTGGCAGCAGGAATCCAGAAATCTATTTAAACAACAGAATTTAGGAAAAAGCTGCACTAAATTCTCTCTTTCTCAGACACACACACACAAACTGAGCAGATGGAGGAAAGACACAGAGCTCCCTGCTAGTCACATCAGCTCAGGAGCCAGACATTATGAACATTCTCTGATCCAGCTCTTGTTGAAATCAATAAAAGCCCTCCACCAAAGACCATGGAAGATGGAAAATAACCCTCTCCACACTTCAGCCAGAATGTGTGAATGAGAAAAAACTGGCAGCTTTCTTCCCCTCTGATTTTCATGGTGCTTAAAGATCCAGATTATAAAACACAATTTGTCATCTGTGAAGTTTTGTGAAGATCATGTCTATGTGTGAATCAGGGAGACAGACATCACCTTGCACTTTGACAAGAAAGAGATACTAGTAACTGTGCCTGAATAAGTATTATTATATTTTAAAGTGCTATGGACACAGTATGTCCTACAGCTAAGAAAATGGTTGGAGTGGACAGAGAGAGGACTGAAGAAATGCTCCTTGTTCCTTAAAAACCTGATTTTGTATTGCTGAAAAATAAAGTATAATCCAGACACCAGGATTCAACTTTTATCAGTCAGATAACCTGAAATTCAGCTGGCTGTTGTAAATGTCTCGAAAGACTGTGATGCTTACTAGAGCATCTATAATCTTTGATATCGGAGAATGCTTCACATATTTTACTCTCAAGTCCTTCCTTGCCACCAGCTTACAATAAGCATTCAATTATTCCTGCATCCCCCAGCTCTAGTGACATCCATCACTGCAAACTCAATTGGCTGGAGGACCCATTCACACCGGCCACATGGTGTCTATAGATTTTGTTCTCATTTTTCTTGCATTCTTGTGAGCTCCATTATTTACGACTTTACACATGGCTCATATTATGATCATCAATATCAAATCAGTTGAATTTTCTATATTGTTTCTAGACACAGACCAAAAAAGAGAAGGAATTTGGGCTTAACTGTGTCAAAGTGAACTTCATCATGACACTAGGTTGATATTAATAAAAATTAGCAACTGGAATAAAAGAAAATATGAGAATCCATTTTAAAAAAATATCAAAGTTATACTTACTGCTGGTAGAAGACATACGGCTGTACTCAGACCTGCAAGACAAAGATTTTGGTTAGACCATATTAAATCTAAAAGAGATCATGAAAAATGTACCAAATCTAAGTTACATGGCATATTAAAATAGCTTAACACCCATTTAGCATTATTTTTGTGCTAAGATAATAACTGGAACAGGATTTGAACATGGCTCAGAAGAACTGGCATCTAACATGAATTTTGAAAACAGCTACATAGAGTAAACTGAGGTTCTGTCTGATGGCTATTCACACTACCTAACTTTAGGCATAAAAATTAAAGCTCAGAAGACACTCTGTAAGTTAAAAATAGGCTGCTTCAGGCTCAGGCTGGGAGAAGAAGTCTACTAGGTTTTGACCCTGCTCTTCTTCCTTATGTCCTCTAAATGCTGCTTTGCAGATTTTTTCTTTCTTAAAGAGAACTCTACTTGAATAGCAAAATTTTTATTGTTCTTTGGTCACAACTGGCAGGGAAGACACAAAACGAGTACCAAATTATAAACATTCAGATGACAAAGCTTTTTGTTTTAGGAAACCCTTTTCCTCTTCAAGACATCTCTCAATAAAACCATATACCCATTGTTCTACTTCAGTGCACACTGGATTACCTGTGAGAAAATCAGAGCAGGTAAGTATTTTATGCAATGAAATTTTGCTCCTGCATATAACCCCAAACTCCTGAAAACCCCTTTCTGAGCTGATTAAAACATGGTCCATTTATGCCCTAAAGATTCAGAAATGCTAAGGTAAAACAAATATGCCATCACTGAATATTTAAAAAATGATTCATTTCCACTTTGAGGCCCTACCTATGAGTTCAGAGTGTGTGGTTTTGGAGATCACAGTCACACAGACTCCACGTCGCCATTCACTAGGTCCCTAAACTAGACCCCACTCAAAAGAGCTCTCTGCCACAGTTAACATCCTGCATGTATGCCTTGCAGTGCCCTAAACATAACAGGCAAACTCTCTGGGGAGCTGTAACACAGTTCTTGAATTCAAACTTTGTTTTATATGCATATTTGCATCAAGTTTGCAATATTGCTTTAAATTAAAAAACATGTGAGTCTTAACTCCCAATATATTTGTCTGGAAATAGATACCATCTAAGCATATTTTCAGGATACCTTCATACTCTAGGGTCTCAGACATCTAAGGAAATAACAGACATCAACCCCCCATAACTATGATGGCAGCTTTCAATTTTAGTATGGACATATCTCTGCAGAAGAAACAAAGCAATTATACTCATCCAAATACTTCATAGCCCTGTGCAGCCCTGTGCTTAGCAGTCAGTATTCTGCAGATCAGATGCTAAGGCTGTTGATTTAGATGAGAAAGACCATGAAGCATGATCCTGCTGGACCAGTGAAAGATCACACAATCTGAATTTCTCACAATACTTGTGAAAGAAAATCCTCCAATACCATCAAGTACCATGAGGCTATTGTAGTTTTTGAGAAAGGTCTGTAATGCTGGGGAGAGGCTTGCTGATGGGGGCTTATAGGTCTCTCACTCTCTACTAAATCCTGCACCGCCAGCCTCTTCAATAATGCCAGGGAGCATCTTCATCACACATGGCAGAGACCACAGAATTAGGTCATTAGTAGCCCCTCTCAGTCACTCCATATATACCTGCTAAGTAGCACCTCCTCCATGAACAAAAACCTATTCCTCAACCCACCTCCCACAGGACCCTCAAGTAGCTGGCAAAGGCAGAAGCAGTAATGACATGAGCAGAGGAGATCTTGCTACTGCTGGGACATGTACATACTGCTGGTCTGGCTCTGAGCAGAGACCAAGGGGAAGTGATCCCAGAGACTGGCTAAGTAGTGAAGTGCAGGCCATAAGGCTGCACAGTATTTGCACACCAAGTCCCATTAGTATCATTTGGCACCATGTATATTCAGAAGGGTGCAAAAACTGTGTAATGTGTCACTGTTCAGAAGCCCAGAGGCAAGCAATATACATCCAGCTGCCTCCAAGCATCCCAATAAAGGATTCATTTATTCTGCACTTCTGTTTGAAAACAGCCCTGGGCTGTCCTTCAATGTAGCTGTGCTCAGCAGCTGGTGGCTAATTCAATATGAATCTGCACTGTTTGGATTTTAGGTAGAAGCAAGACAACATTTTGCCTTTTGCTTACCGCAAGTAGAAGCAGCGTTCTGTTACTTCACACTCTTATTTTATTATCCCAAAGTGCTGCAGGCACATAGGACATAGAGAATTAATAAGTCCTGAACCAAGGAAGTGGCAATCTATGTACAGGCAGAACATGAAAAATGAGACAATAGGAAAAATAAATAGATGGGAAGCGAGAAAGGAGGTGATAACAGTGTGGAGACTAATTGCACAGACAGATTTTAATAGGCTTGAGAATCGTATTGGGGTTTTCATGTAATTCTAATAAGGTTCAAGGTAATATTTAATTCATGTTTGTTGTATAACAAACATGCACAGAATTAAAAAAGAAGAAAAAGGATAATTAAGCTCAAAGGCTCATGTAAACCTCAGATGCCAAAATGAGGACTGTACCCTCCCTCAGCTCCTTCTACAGTCAATAAAAAAGAGAGGTCTGAAGTGTGTCTCTCCCTAGCTGTTTTCTAGAGTTGAAGCCTACAGAAAACACATTCCTAATGTAGGACTCTCGGCTACATGCCTAAAACCAAATGGAAGGAATCTAAGTCTCTCAATATGCTCTTTGGGGCAACCTGAAGCACCTTTTTCCTCCTTTCAACTTTTTCTTTCTTAGAATTTGTTTTGAATCTAGTCCTTAAGAACAAAAATAACAGTGTTGGTAAAATCCTTAGTATTTTCAAAACATCAGCACAAACCAGTCAGATTCATGTCATGCATGTCAATTGGCTTACAAAAAAAATTTCCCCCCCTTACAATCAGTTATTTAGAATACTGAATTCTGAAGTTTCTGTAAGCCTTTTATGCTTTCTAGACCAGAATACACAGCAAACATTCCTTTGGAAAAGATCATGCATTAGAAAATTTAAGTACCGAAATAAACATCTCCTGAGTCACACAGACTCTCTGGCTATCAAGCAGTTTTGTTCCTTCCCATTCTTTCCATCCTTGTTTTAAATATCCTGAGTATTGGCTTCTATCAGTTCCCTTGGAAGAGGATTTTCCCATCAGGATAACTGAAGAGTTTGGTACTCATGGGCTTTAATAGTGGTAGACTGGGGCTGTACTGGACCTCAGGGGTTCCAGGCCAATTATGTGATCTTGCAGCAAGCTATTTCTTCTGGTAGATGTTACATTAGAATTAAAAGGAAATAGATATTCAGGACAGAAACTGAACAAATGGAGGCCTGTTCCCTTTATAGGCACATAATGAGGAAAAAGATGATCAGAAAGGGTATTGAAGCAGTGGGAGGTACTGAAAAGGAGGGCTCATCATTCAGTCAAAAGACAAATCAGTCTGCAAAGAATTTGTGCTCAATGGTCAGCCACCAGCAAAGAGGAGTTCTGAAATTGTCAAGAGACATTAAAGTAGGAATGTAGAAGCTTGAGATAAATGTGGGACCTTGATTCCCATTAGCACTGTTGAAGAATCAGGACTGTGTATTATCAGAGATGGTAAGACCATCAGGAGCACAAAAGATCCTAAGCAGTCCTCTGAGACCATCACACACTACGCAATGTTGATTATGAATACAGAGTCTCAAAATACCAAAGCAGGAGAAATAGCCCACTGAATACCAGTAAGCAGCTGCTAGTGCAACTTGCAGTTACTGAGTATGGTGTATATGAAACCACGATAAACCTGTTTCTTCAGGAAAGAAGGAGGGCTGTGCCACATCTCTGAATCACACAAGCAAGGTAGCTACACCAGTGTTCCACTGTGCTTGGGTTACCCCGGCATGCCGATCAACCACAGCACAGCATCATGTTAACATAGCTGCAGCAATGACATCTATGGTAATAAACAAACACACTCAAGAGAACTGTCCGGGACTAAAGCCAACTGCCATGAAACAGTTTGCACCTGTACCATTAAAACCTCTTGCCTTCCAAAACATTCCCAGTGGTCTGCTGGGAGTGGTCCCTGAGCAGTTGTAATATGGTAAAACAAGTGCCTGGCCCACAGTAAAACACACCCAAGTAGCTAGATGGTCCCATCCAAACTGATTCCATCAACCTTTCTAACCATTCAATAATATGGACAACTCTGTCCATGTGCTCAGGGACACATTCATACTGTTTCACACAGTGACATGCTGTAACTAAGGTTTCTGAGCCAGGGAGCATCTCCACATAGCAGTCTACCTAGACACAGGTCTCTCAAGTTATTCTAGCAAAATACTACACCACAATATGCAAGTCTCCATTGCCAGGACTCCTTAATCCTCCCAGATGAAATCGTGGAAAGTTTTCTAGCTCTTCTGCTGTGTGCATCCCTTTCTTGCTTAGGAATGATGGAATGGTACCTGCTGGATTCATATTTCCCATGCCTTCTCTGCCTAAAGTTGTTTAAGATTTCACTGTTTCATGCAGAAAGCTGTATTTAACAGCTTCTTTGCCCTCCCTCCTCCAAAAAGCACTCCATGGGGCACATGAGAGGATTTTATAGCAGTTAAACTACAGTGCCTGAGTCAGGAGATTTGGCTTTGTAGCTCTGTCTTGGGTTTCTTCTCGCCAAATTCCTGTGGTTCAGATTACAATCTGCGTCACTAATATCAATCCAAAGCAAATCCGTTATCTTCATCATACTTTTACTTGTGTAATGAAGATGCCTACAATGGAATAACTCAGAGAAGCTTGTCTCAAAATGCCTTTCTAGGGATTTCTAGTAGAGCAGTGAAGTCAGATGATGGATTCCCATCACTCAGCTCTAACTATTACACTTGGCAGCTTACTACCAACAGTACTGTTTCAGGCCCCAAATGAGACATCATCCTCATCATATAAGGAGGAAAGGTTGGTTGTCCTTCAAAAAGCATCTGATGAAGCAGGACCACACTATGCTTAAGTGAGCAAACCTACCTGCCTGCGTGCTCTGCATCCAAAGGGATGCATCAGGACTCAGGTGGCATGTACCTACACATCCAAAGCTAGGGGATAAGTCACCCTCCCAAGGTCCTCATGCTCTTAACTTAGAACAGAAGAAGCTTCATTTATACCAAACCTTCACAAAGCCACAGTTAGCTGAGGTGAACCTCACTGCCTGCTGGGGCCTAGCCATCGTAGGTGTCAGCGTTGACCACCTGGCCACCAGAATGTGATTCAAAGTCTGTTTCAACCTCAGTTTCAGAGCTTGGCCCCAGTGCTAGCAGATCTGCCTGCTAGCACTGCATATCTGCCTGTTCAACCAAACAGCTTCACCAAGTAAATCTGGTTAGAAATGGTGCCTCAACACCAATTTGTGACAAACAGCTTGACTTTATACTATTTGAACGTCAAGTCAGAGACAAGTTGTCTGCCTTTACACATCCGGAATGACGGATATATAGGAAGTGAAAGTCTCAAGGGAGAAAAAAAAAAAAGAAACCCCAAGGTAAAAATAGGCCTTAAAACAGGTTTCAGCAGCAGTGATTTGTATTCCTGAGTTTCTCATAGGTGGATGAGAAGATAGGTGACAAGAGACTAATGTGCCATGTTGAAGGATTACCATATAGCTGACAAAGTCAAAAGTGCTGAAACCACTTATGACTTTGAGCTAGAAACATGTGACATGAAAGCAATCTCTGACCCCAGTAAACAATCCAACTACTCACATGTATTGAAACCTCCATAATGCCAGCTCAGTGAGGTGTTATGATGCTCAGTCAAGGCCTATATGCTTGACAAATAGGAGAGATCTTTGCTGTAGAAGTAATCCTTTAACACAGCTAACATAACCAAACAGAAGTTTAGGAATAAAAAATTTAAGACTTTAGGTCCAAGAAACTACCCATTTTCCACATTTGCTACACCCCACTCAGGATACTGGTCCTGAATGGTCTTAGTTTGTCATTTTGAGTATTTCAGTCTCCCAAATCTTTATTCTTCTATTCAGAGTAAGGACAGTGAAGTAACAGCATTTGCATGGATTGTAAAAACAAGAAAATTTAAAATCGAATATTTTTACCACCCATTATAAGTAATTTAGTATTAATTTTTCCTAGTTACGATTTTTTTTTTTACCATTTATCTGCAGTTCTTTTAATGTATATGTTTGTTGTCCAATTTCTTTTTCTACATGTTTTGCTCTCTGTTTGCTTTCTAATTGAAGACCAAAGAAAGACCATTCCTTTTTCTTAAACCATCATGTTTTATAGTACAAATCCACTACTAAAATTATTACCAGAGAAAGCTTTCTGTCTCCCATACCTCTGAGCTAAAAGGCTTCAATAGCAGATGAAATGAGGTGTTTATATTCAAAAGCCCAAAAGTACATTTCCCAAGAAGAGAAAATTTGTACAGGCAATGTCTCTCAGATGAAGGATGGTCAAAGTCTTTCAAATATCATTAATAAATAGCCAATATACACTAATTGGCTTACATGTTTTACCCCCTTCATATAAGTATTGACAGTACCAGCTCAATCCATTCTTATTGGATTCAGGAATTCAAAATACACTGTTTGTTCAGCAGCTTCATTGCCAGCCATATTTACCACGGCAAATGCTGTAAGAGGAACATATTTTTCAACAGATTAGGAAAATGAAGGCTTCAAACTGATCTTGCCTGTAGCACTGAGTTTTGCCTGCTTTTGCAACTGGAAGCTGCGGCAAAACCTTAAGGAACATATGCCCTGTAGAGTACTTGATGTATTTGATTGGTTAGTTGCTATAAGCAGCTTCAGCAATACAAGCTCTGTAGAAGAGCTCACACATCATTACATACAGTCATCAAGATGACAAGAGCTTGCAGTGCCTGGATTTACTACAGTCACTATCCTCTATTGTTCCCCCAGTGACAGAAAGGGACCACTTGATGTAAAGCTGTTACAGAATTACTCTGATAGTTGTATTTTCTCTTACTGTAAGAGGATGATGGCTGAACTTCAAAATAATTCTTAATTTTTGTTTTAATGTTGGTAGGTTGTTTTTTTTTTTTGTTATTGTTGAGTAATTAGAGAAAAAAAAAACAGCTCAATTCACAATAGCTATGATGGGACTGAGAGAAAGCAGAAAGCAGATCTGGCAAGAGGGAAAAGCAAGTGTTGATAACAGTTGGTTTGGTGAGAAAGCTGAAATATAAACATTGTGAAAGAGACATATGCAATATGTTTATCAGACTAAAATAGCTGCTAAACAGAGCTAAAAACAATAATTGAAATGCAGAGACCCATTGCTTTTCAAAATAAACTTTGGTGTAAAGCACTGCAGTTATTAGTTGCCGTATACCATTGTTCAGTTTCCTCAGACAGACTCTTCCGCTAACCTACACTTTCCAGCCAAGCCTGGGACAGGGATGCTTCATAAAATCATCAGCTTTAGCACCTCACCACCATCAGGCACAAGCAGCTGTCATGCTGGTCACTGAGGTCTAAAGGATAATGTCACCAGCTGGGTCAAATCCTTCCATTTGTCCTTCCCATGGAAACCCATTTTTTTTTTTCTACTCCAGATAAACACAGCAAATTAAGAGTGACTTGATCCATTAAGGACTTTTTGAGCTTTGAACCAACCATGGATTCACAGTTACTTTGTCTTCCTTTTGCTCGTGTTTCTCAAAGATGACTAAAAAACCTTTTGTCAGAGTATCTGGAAAGGAGGCCTGGATTTCTTCCTTTAAGCTCCATGAAATATTTTTAAACTTTTACCATTAGTACAAGGTGACAGGAAAAACCTTCTCAGACCACAGAAGTGACTAAAAAAAAAAAAAAATCAATTTGAATTAATAGCTGGAAGTATGAAAAAGATCACCCTATTCCATTTCCACCTTTAAAAATAATTGTAACACTGACACTTCAGTTTTGGTGCTGTGCACCTGACACCACTTTGCAAGGAAGTTTTACAGTTTTGCAACAGTTGGACTAAAGACCAAAGGAGATAAACCAGACAAGGATCTGGGAGAAAAACAATGAGGAAAGCCAGAAGCAGGGAGAATGAAGACCTAGCAGAGAACAGTGCTAGCAGGAGTGGGCAACCTTTTATCCTTCTGGAGCCAGAGGAGAAAAGTCTCAGTGTTGCTCCCAACAAGATGGCACAGCAGTTCTATACAATAGGATGGAAAGCACATCCCTCTCTCCTCACAGAGATGGACTGAAGGTGGGAACAGAAAGGGGGATCACACGGATCATCCTTGCAGCAATATGGTATTGGGAGAAGTCATCCAACTTACAAACATAGTGCACCTCTACCATCAGGGTCACAAAGTCAGAGACAAAAAGTCATTCTCCTTGACTCCAATATGACACTTAACTACCAACAAAGTTCACAGCACTTCACAGGTCAGTATGATGAGTATCATGACAACACCAACTCAGTTTCAGGTTGCTATAAGTCTAACCTGCTTTCATAGGTGGATCTTTGATGGTCCTTTTGAGCAGTCAGCTTTCTGCCTGGTGCTGTCCAGGTGTCACTGACACAAGGACAGCATAGGTAGCTGGGCATGCTTCCAGACTATCCTCAACACAAGTTTTCCTGGGACACGGGGATGGTGTGGCACCCAGCCCCCACCAATGTGTCTACAGCCCATAAAGCGCAGCTCTGGGCCCCACTGCTGAGGCAGCACAACGTGCTCTGGGAGCTCAAACTTAAAGCCCATGGCCATGATCTCTTAGTATCTTTCTCCCCATGTATCGCAGGTGGAAAACAAGATGAAGAGGGACTTTTTACAAAGGTGTGTAGTGACAGGACAGGTGTGTAGCTGGCAGAGGGGAGACTGAGGTTAGTTCTTAGGAAGGAGACAAGCGAAGGAGGTGAATTCCCCGGGGGATCCCAAGCACGGCGATACCCGGTGGCAGGGGCACTCCCCGGGGTGCAGTCGGGATGCCGGAGGAAGGCTCTGCCGTGGAGCCCTAGCTACTGCCCCGCTGCTGCCGGGACATGCTCGGCGGCAGCCGCCGGCAACAAGTGCAGCGCTGCGGCCCGGCGGGGAGCTCTCCAGCGCCTCGCCGCCCCGGCCCTGCCGGGGGCCATGTACAAGCCCCGCACCCGTCCCCTGCCACTCGCACACTCACCCGCCCGTCTCGGCTCCCGAGTCCACGCAGTCGTCCTCGCCGCCGGGCTGCTTCTCCATGGCGGAGGCTCCACGGCCGCCCTCTCGCGCGGAGCGGCGGCTGCCGCGACCTGCCCCTGCCGCCGCCGCTCCGCCGTGTGAGAGAGGCAGCAGCCGCCGCCGTCCGGCCCGCCCCTACCGTCCCGGGGGTCGGAGCCGCTCCGCCGGGTCGGCCTCTCCCTCCGCTGCTGCAGCGGGCACCAAGCTCCGCTTCCCGCTCCCTCCGCCCTCCTACCGCAGGGGAGCCCGGGCGGAGTGTGGGGGGATACCGCCTGCCTCCACCGGTCCCTTCAGAAGAGCCCCGTCCTGCAGAGAAAACCGCGCACCCAAGGCTGTCGGCAGGCCACCGCGTTTACGTGCGCGTATACTATTAGAAACCACTGCAGCACCCTCATTCTATCACTTTTGTTTTTCCAGTTGGAAGAAGGACTAAAAGGTGCAGAGCCCCGTATCCAGCGAAAGTTAGCGGAGCCCGTTGGATAGATGTACTCGCTATCCCTCTGGTTTTGGAGTATCCGCTGTTGCTGCCTTTTACTTGAAGTCTTGCTGTGCTGAGCTTTCTGCAGTCTTCCCCAGCGCTGCCTGGCACTTGCTCATTACATCGGATACAATCATTTTGAAATTACACACAGAAGCGGGCAGGGGATGGATTTCCAAGCCCATGAGAATGTCTGTAATGATGACAAAAGATGATGTGATGCAAAAGAAGCATTTTGAATGCCGCCTGTGAAGAAATGCTGATATAGGAAAGCCTGCTGGTAGTGGGGCCATCATATTCAGTCATGTGAGAGTGCAGGGAAAAGTTGTAGGTGACCTGTGTTCTGTGCATGTCACACATGCCTCCTGGTTTTGTATTTGGAGATGAATACCTCTATGACAAACCTCTCTGTTTCTCCATCCCTTACATAAATACAGCTATTCACCCATGTAGATATGAATCAAGACCTCACACAGCCAAAACCAAAAATCAGTCTTTCCTGAACCCACTTGGTCATTCAGGCTGTAGCAGATGACAAGGGAAGGAGCAGAACTGATTTCTTAGCTTGTATCTCCAAGCAGGGAGACCATCTCTCTCTTGCTTCTGTATCAGGTTCAAGCACAAAACTTGCTGTTAGGAGGTGGTGGTATCACAATCTGGATATTGTGGGACAGTTACAGTAACAAGCCTACCTCAGAACTGGGGAGCGTCTCCCATTAATGTTTTCTGGCAAACATCAGCTTTGATGAATTGGAATTTTCTCTTCAAAAATCTCTAACTACCAAATCTCTATCAGTTGCAGAAGATGGCCACTTGCAGAAAGTGATCAGAAGTAAAGAAAGAAAAAGTTGTGGTTTAAAAAAAAATGTATTTTCTTCTACCTTTTATTATTTGTGTTACAAGAAAGAAGAAAAATAATGAAAACCTCAACATATGAGACATAAAATAGACTGTAAAATAAAAATACACTGCACAGGAGCGTGACCAGCAGGTCGAAGGAGGTGATCCTGCCCCTCTACTCTGCTCTTGTGAGACCTCACCTGGAGTATTGTGTGCAGTTCTGGTGTCCTCAACATAAAAACGACATGGAACTGTTGGAACAAGTCCAGAGAAGGGCCACGAGGATGATCAGGGGACTGGAGCACCTCCTGTATGAAGACAGGCTGAGGAAGTTGGGGCTGCTCAGCCTAGAGAAGAGAAGGCTGCGTGGAGACCTCATAGCAGCCTTCCAGTATCTGAAGGGGGCCTATAGGGATGCTGGGGAGGGACTCTTCATTAGAGACTGTAGTGACAGGACAAGGGGTAATGGGTTAAAACTTAAACAGGGTAAGTTTAGATTGGATATAAGGAGGAAATTCTTTCCTGTTATGGTGGTGAGGCACTGGAATGGGTTGCCCAGGGAGGCTGTGAATGCTCCATCCCTGGCAGTGTTCAAGACCAGGTTGGACAGAGCCTTGGGTGATATGATTTAGCGTAAGGTGTCCCTTCCCACGGCAGGGGGGTTGGAGCTAGATGATCTTAAGGTCCTTTCCAACCCTAATTATTCTATGATTCTATGATTCTAAGACAATCTTACATTGCATAAAAAGTGCTAAACTGGTTTAGTTTGCCATCAGTACTTTTTTAGCTATGTACACATTGCATAGCATTCATATCCTCCATTTCAAGATCTTTTCAAGCTTGCCAGTGCTCCATCAAGCTGTATATAGCAGCATAAACTAATAATAACATCTAGCATTGCTTAACAGGATGGAAGTAGCTCATGCCACTGCTGTCTTTACAAGTATATGGCTCTGGTTCTCTAAAATAGGGCTAGGGTAGGACTATTGTAAAATAAAAGGAAAGAACACTGTGGGAAGAGCTGTCAAGGTGTTGTTAGTAGGATTAAGTAGGCACCAAACCCAGAAATACTTATATTCATCAGTTTTAACTGGTGAATTCCTGGTGCTCTATCATGGAGAGATACTGGGCTTATGCACACTCCCATGGCCTCTTGGCATTACAGCAGGTCAGCACACTGTTTGCCTCTTCTTTAGAAGAAACTTTCAGCCTCCACTATTCATCAAGAATTAGGAAAGACTCATTGTATAGGAAAGTTGGCATCTATTCCATTTTAAATATCTGGCTAGGTTTACATGCATGTCATTTTGAAAGCAGAGAAATGATTTTTCAGTTTATGTGGACGATTTCACATAAACATTCCCATAAATACAAATTCCACACCTAAATGTAAGCCCCTTTAGTTATGATCCCTCTTCTGCCTTTCCTTCCCCCTGCAAGTTAGTAAAAGCTAGTTTGGACAAAATTGAGAGGGTTGGGTTTGTTCAGCCTGGAGAAGAGAATGCTCAGGGGAGACCTTACAGAAGCTTTCAGTACCTAAAGGGGCTACAGGAAATCTGAAAAGGGGCTTTTTACAAGGGCATGTAGGCATAGGATAAAGGGGAATGGCTTTAACTGAAAAAGAGGAGATTTAGATTAGATATTATGAATAAATTCTTTGGTGTGAAGGTGGTGAGACACTGGCACAGGCTGCCCAGAGAAGCTGTGGCTGCCCCATCCCTGGCAGTGTTCATGGCCATGCTGGACGGGGCTTTGAGCAGCCTGGTCTGGTGGCAGGTGTCCCTGCCCATGGCAGGGGGTTGGACATGGAGGATCTTTAATGTTCCTTCCAGCCCAAACCAGTTTGTGATTCTACAGTTTTATGAAAATGCTACAAGTGCTCATACAGAACTGCCCTGGACAGGTACCTACATAGTAGCTCAGAATGTACAAAACCAAACTCTTCTACCCTTCATGACTGGGAAACTGCTATCCAAACCAATTTACTCCCAAAATTAAATGCATGGGATTTCTTCTAGGACTTGGACCAAAATGTTGTGCCTAACTGTGAAAGTAACCATGGCATGAGCTGGTTGTCAGCTTGCTAGTATTTGAATTATCATATTCAGGTAAGAGGCATTAACTTGTTTTTAGAAGCAATGTGTCATAAAGAGACTCATCCAAGGCTAGAGAGAGGCAAAACTGAAACAACAACTTAGTCTGTCTCTTTGTCTTCAGTCTGTCTGTCTCTCTATCTTATTTATCTGTCTATCTATCTATCTATCTATCTATCTATCTATCTATCTATCTATCTATCTATCTATAGACATCTGGTTTGGGTAAATATTTATTATCCATCAAATGCAGTGGCCATGGAGTACCCTGAGCTCGAGAAGGAGATATCAGCACTCTGTGTTACCAGGAGAGGACAGACTTTGCTGTCTTGATGATTCTTAGTCTACACACATACGTTTATTTAGGTAGTGCAAAGGTCCCTAGAAGCAGGTCACTTCCATTTGCTTTTAAATCTGATTTCAAACTGAAATAAATTGACCCTAGCCACTGCTGAACTGATTTAAGATGTAACCAAACCTCCTTAAATATTTAGAAATAGGTTTAGTTAAATTGATACATTTCTGTGTGTAAAATTTTAGGTGGTCAGCTAATAGATCTTTTCCATCTCTGACTTTTATTATTCTAGTTAGTTATGTTTAAGCACTGGCATATGAGAGGGTCTGGAATAGATTTTATGCTGCATTTAAGATTAATTTATTCCATCTGTCCCAGGGAGGGAAAAAAAGAAACATTCGAAGGAAATATATAATTAAGATAGTAACTAAAGTTACCACAAACTCTGGGCTCTCTTATTTATATATTTGCCTCATTTAACTCCATTTTATTCTGGCCTTTCACATAATTATGGTGAAAAGTAAACTTCTCTTCAATAAATTCCAAGAATTTCAGAGGTTTTATTGAATGAGGTGTTAACTCCTGGCCTTTACTTAAATTTCCTCTGTTATCTGTGCTTCAGATTATATCCTGGGTTTGTTGAAAAAAGAAGTGAAGTTTTAATTACTTTTTTATACTTATGAGGCTGTGATATCAGTTTAAAGATAACACTGAAAATATTCCTAGGTTAAGTTTCCTCAAATTTCAATCCTTTCATTAAATAGCATTTAATAGTAGAGATTACAAAAACTCAGATGAAAAACATCAGAAGACACCTTCAAAGATGCCAAAGAAATAAAGCACTCTGTTGTTAAAAACAAACACCAAGCACATGAAATTAATGCTAGTTCTGCAGAAAGTTCTCTTGCTTCTAGTTGTGCAGGGCTGAATCTAAAATACGACTTTACGTTCTTAAAAGAGGATGTAAAGCAAATTTGTATGTTTGCATTCAAATCTGTTACCATGATAAATCACGCACAGTGGCTAATTAGGAGGTGTCTACCTTCCAAAGGAAACTTTCACTGTGTCCAGACTGTACAACGTTAGCCATTCATCAAAGTTAAGCATCGCCTAACTGCAGCCTCTAGTTGCCATGACTTCTGTCCTTGCAGAAGCAAATGCACACAGCAGAACCTCGTCCTCATCTCTCATGTAATGATCTTAGTAACTGAGAACATGGTGCAGGAGAGTGATAGCTGCAGCCCTGAGCTGAAGAAAGGCAGAGTGGAAAGCTGAAAGATGAACCACATGAGATCATACATGTGCTAAAACAGACGAAGCGAAAGCATCGATTTCCCTGATGAATCCACCCCGGATTCAAATTGCAATCTCTTCTCCCTGAGTCCTGCCTGCTGAGATATCATCTTTCCAGCACCAGTCATGAG